AAATTATTTATTATTCTCTGTGCATTCACTGAAATGCACGGTAACTCTGATTTAAATTTCTCCAACTCCACCTCTTAACTTGGGCAAGTAAATTATTTGATTGACACCTATTAACTAAGATGGCGTTTGGCACTCTTGCTTTCATTGGTCAGTGCATTCAGTTAAGGAGTTGGGACATCATGTTGCAGCTGTACAGAACATCGCTGAGGACACTTCTAGAATACTATGTTTAATTCTGGTCTCACTGCTATAGGGTAGATGTTGTTAAACTTGAAAGGGTGTTCAGAAGAGATTTGTGAAGATGTCACTTGGATTGGTGGGTTTGAGCTATGGGGAAAGGCTGCAAAGGCTGGGGCTATTTTCCCTGGAGCATTGGAGGCTGAGTGGTGGTCTGATAGAGGTTTATAAAATCATGAGGGGCATGGATAGGGTGAATAGCTAATTTCTTTTTCCCAGGATGGGGGAATCTAAAACATGAGGGCATAGATATAAGGTGAGAGGCGAAAGATTTAAAAGGGACCTGAGGGGCAACATTTTCTGACAGAGGATAGTGCGTGTATGGTATGACCATCTATAGAGTAACTAGTGGGTGGTGGGTGCAATTACAACATTAAAAGGCATCTGGAGGGATATATGAACAGGAAGGGTTTACAGGGTAATGGGCCAAATGCTGGAAAACGGGACTAGATCAGTTCAGGATATCTGGTCGGAATGGATGAGTTGGACTGAAGTGTCTGTTTCCATGCTGTATAACTCTAAAACGAACAACTCACAATGAGCATTACTGTCTAGCAAGTGGACCTTAGAGGCTTGGTTACAGCAGAGAAATCAAGAGCGATTTAAGTATTTTGCATTATTCTGTGGTTACAACGAAAGACAAAACATTTGTTGGTGAGATTGAGTCACGTACTCAGGCCACAGTCATACAGATCAGTAACCCAAGATTGGTTCAATGGAATCTGACAGAACAAAGAATGGCCGTGAACACAAGACTGTTTGTTGGTATTGCCTCAAACACTAGCCAAACCAAAGGCCTCGTGAGTTGGCCATGCAAACCTATATTGAGCATTGACAGCCATTTACAAATGTAGACAACTAGATGAATTTCTGATAGGGATAAAATAAATCCCAACCCCCTATCCTCCTCCACAGTTGAGTTCACAAGACCAAATAATGTTAGTATTAAAGAACCATATTAATGTGAGCAACAGGCTACTCACTATAATAGACATAACAATGCATAGCAGTGACCATGCCTAGGCAACAAGTATGGACAAGGGACCTTAACAATGGTGATATTTTCATTCAGGAGGTAGTGGACCAGTAGTGATTGCAACCTCTCTGTACAACTGAGGAACTGCAGGGTTGCAGAACAATCACCTAATGCTGCTGATTGGAATGAACCCAATGAGGAGTGTCATGTTGATGCTGGTCGACATACAATGCAAGGTCAAAATCAGAATCAAGCTCAATAGTCCTCTAGCAAATATCACCTACCAATTCATGGAATCCCTACAAGTGAAAGTAGGCCATTTGGCCCGTTGAGTCCAAAGTGACCCTCAGAACAGCATCCCACTCAGACCCACCTCCTTGCAACCCTGCATTTCCCATGGCTAATCCACCTAGCCTGCACATCCCTGGACATCATGGGCAATTTAGCGTGGCCAATCCACCTAACCTGCACATCTTTGGACTGTGGGAAGAAACCAGAGTATACAGAGGAAACCTACACAGGCACAGGGAGAACATGCAAACTCCACACAGTCACGGAGGGTGGAATTGAACCCAGGTCCCTGGTGCCGTGAGGCGGCAGTGCTAACTACTGAGCCACTGTGCCACTCTCAACCTTCCAAGTTTCAAGAGATCATACTCTAGAAGAATTGTGAATTCTCCATAGCACCTGAATTTGTGAAGTCTCTGGACTTGGTAGGAAGTGGAGTAGAAGTGCATGTAATTATATGCATGAATGTAGAAATATTAACTATGGGAAGATACTGGGGGTGGGGGAGATGTATAACTTAAACGTTCTGATAGGATTAATCCTGGAGACTGTATTAAGTTCCATTCAGTCTCATCATACTATACAGTTTTGGATGGGAAATGGAGAGAATATCCCTAACAAATAAAAACAAATTGTTGAAGGAACTCAGCAAATCTGACAGCATCTATGAACAGGGTCACAGGACTCGAAACTTTAATTGTTTTTCTCTGTCTACAAATACTGAGTTTCTCCATCACTTTCGGTTTTCTTTCTGATCTCCAGAATCCACAGTTCCTTGCATTATTTTAGAGAATATCTCTGGATTTTGAAAGGAACAGATGTTTTGTATATGTCTATTTTTATTCTTTCATGGGATGTGGACATCACTGGCTGGACCAGCATTTATTGCCTGCTCCTAATTCCCATGAGAAGAATGTAATGAGCTGCCTTCTTGAACCACTACAGTCCATGTCCTTTGAGATGGAAGTGACTGTGGGTTTGGAAGGTACTGTTAAAAGAGCTTGGGGGAGCCTCTGCCATGCACCTTGTGATCAATACACTAATGCTACTGCTGTCTGCATGGATTTCTTCTCACAGTCCAAAGGTGATCAAGTTAGGGTGGATTGGCCATGCTAAATTACCCATAGTGTCCAGGGATGTGCAGACTAAGTGGATTAACCATGGGAAATGCTGAGTTACAGGAATTGGGTAGGGGGGTGGGTCTGGGTGAGATGCTCTTTGGAGGGTGGGTGCAGACTCGTTGGGCAAAATGGCCTGCTTCCACACTGCAGGGATTCTGTGAATCTATACTTGTAAATGATTTGCATGAAGGAGTGGAAGGGTGGATTAGTAAGTTCGCGGACAATATGAAGGTGCGTCAAGTTGTGGATAGGGCGGAGGGCTGTTCTCGGTTACAAAGGGACATTGATAGGATGCAGAGCTGGGCTGAGAAGTGGCAGATGGAGTTTAACCCTGAAAAGTATGAGGTGATTCATTTTGGAAGGACAAACTTGCAAGCAGAATACAGGGTTAATGGAAAGATTCTTGGCAGTGTGGAGGAGCAGAGGGATCTTGGCGTTCATGTCCACAGTTCCCTGAAAGCTGCCACCCAGGTGGATAGAGTTGTTAAGAAGGCGTATGGTGTGTTAGCTTTCATTAATAGAGAGATTGAGTTCAAGAGCCGTGAAGTTATGCTCCAGCTATACAAAAGCCTGGTTCGGCCACATCTGGAGTATTGTGTCCAGTTCTGGTTAACTAATTACAGGAAAGATGTGGAAGCATTGGAAAAGGTGCAGAGCAGACTTACCAGGATGTTGCCTAGAATGGAGGGAAGGTCTTACGAGGAAAGGTTGAGAGAGCTGGGGCTTTTCTCTTTAGAACAACAAAGGATGAGAGGTGATTTGATAGAGGTATACAAAGTAATCAGAGGTATAGATAGAGTAGACAGCCAGAGACTTTTTCCTAGGGTGGAGGTAGCTATTATGAGGGGGCATAGTTTTAAAGCGCGTGGAGGTAGATATAGGGGAGAAGTCAGAGGTAGGTTCTTTACTCAGAGGGTGGTCGGGGCATGGAATGCATTGCCGGAGAGATCAGTGGAGTTGGCCTCATTAGGGATATTTAAGCGGCTATTAGACAGGCATATGGATGATAGTATAAGGTAGGGGTGAAGGTTAGATAAACCTTAGGATTAGGGTAAAAGTTCGGCACAACATCATGGGCCGAAGGGCCTGTACTGTGCTGTACTGGTCTATGTTCTATGTTCTATACTGTGTGCTATTAGTGAGGAGTGAATATTAAAGTGAATCTTGATGAATGGGATGCCAATCAAGTGGGTTGCTTTGCCCTGCATGGTTTTGAACATCTAGAATATTGTCGAACAATAGCCAATGTAACTAATTTCTATTGTACAGACTCACCCATAGTCAAACCTCTGTAAGCCAGATAGGCCCTTAGACTACTCAAGGAAAGAGCAACCTCCGTCTATCCACAAATACTATGAGCACTGGAATAGCTTGGTTCATGAAGTTACTATGTGAGATATTATTAAATTAACCATTTAATGTCTCAGTAAAATCAGCAGAGTGCCATCCTGATACCAGAGTGCCATCCTGAAGGTTGGCACAGTGTCTCAGTGGTTAGCACTGCTGCCTCATAGCGCCAGAAACCCAGGTTTGATTCTAGTCTCGGGTGACTGTCTGTGTGGAGTTTGCACGTTCTCCCCGTGTGGGTTTCCTCTGGGTGCTCCGGTTTCCTCCCACAGCCCAAAGATGTGCAGGTTAGGTGGATTGGCCATGCTAAATTGCCCATTGTGTTCAGGGATGTGCTGGCTAGGTAGATTAGCCACGGGAAATGCATGGTTACAGGGTTAGGATGGGGTGGATAGTTGCTATTTGGTGGGTCGGTGTGGACTCAATGGGCCGTACGGCCTGCTTCCAGTTCCTGGCCATTTTCAGGCCCTAGCACTTCTGTAGAAATATTAAATATGTTTATTGAACTCTGACCTTATCTCCCAATGTTGCCCAAACTATAAACAGGCCTCATTAGGACTCAGGCTATCCCACAGTGCAGGAATTTGTTCTGCTGATTTCTAAAGCTAGATTGTGTACTAAAAGGTACAAAGTGTGGCTTTCATTAACACTTCCAAATTCTGCACTCCTGACTCTCAGCGGCAAATAAATAAATTCTTATCCCAATCAAAATAGAGTATGAAAACAAAGAAATTCCAGTGGAATACTTCAAGGAAAATACATTTCGCCTGGGCTGCAGTCTAATGATGGTATAAACCTCACTTCCTTCACTGTTGCCAAAAGTCCCCACTCAGTGCGTTAGTGCATAGCCATGTGTGACACTGAACAAGTAGGTCAAAGGTCCCAGGTTCTCCCCCTCCTCTGTGCTAGATAATCTCAAAGTAATCACAGCTGTTAGTCACAGGGTCCCTCTACTATGGAGGATCTGCTGAGTGTCAGGGATTTGCTGGGTACTAGCTGCTCAATTTTTGTAACTGTGCGGTGATTTTCAGGAGCCAGTGAAGGAGCTGTCGAAGGAGCTGTCTGAGCTTGTGGTTTACTGCAAGGCTGTGCGTTTCCGCAGCTTCCAGTATGCAAGGGACAAGGCATGTCCCTGTGAACTCTCATCCTTCTCTGAGAATAAAGCAAAGAAGCTCATCTGTGAGTCAGGTAAGGTAGGACAACACGATCATCACCAAAATGATACAAAAGATAATCACTGCTGCAAATCTGCAATAAAAACTGAAGATATGGAAATAGTCAGCAAGTCTTGGCAGCATTTGGAGGGAGAAGTAGAGTTATCAATTTCGATCAATGAGTCTTCGACAGAGCTGGGAAGAGTTAGAAATATCATTGGTTTTGAGCAAGTGAATGCAGGTAGAATGAAAAGGAACAAATTGTAAGTGTTTAAATGGGTGAAATTTGGGAAGTTTGACATTAATAACAAAAGAATTACTAGTGTGGGACCGGACACAATGGAAGCTCGCAGGAGGTGTGAATGTCAAATAGTGAACAGCTGCCATCTGGAAAAAACAAGAGAGTGAAACCAAAACCTGCAAAGTGAAAGGAAACAGCAAGGAATGAACTATGACCTGAAATTGTTGCACTCCCTCATTACTGCTGGGCTGTTGGCCAATGAGTGGAACACATCTCCTTTGTAGACTTCTTTTATTTATTCAGGGGGTGTGGGTATCGCTGGCTGGCCAGCATTTATTGCCCATCCCTAGTTGCCCTTGAGAAGGTGGTGGTGAGCTACCTTAATGAACCATTGCAATCTATGTGGTGTAGGTAGACTAACTTAGGCTACGCCTAACCCACAATACCATTAGGGAAGGAATTCCAGATTTTGACCCAGCAACAGTGAAGGAACAGCAATATATTTCTAAGTCAGAATATTGAGTGGCATGGAGACAAACTTGTAGGTGGTAGTGCTCCCATGTATCTGCTACACATGTCCTTCCAGATGGAAACAGTCATGGTTTTGGAAAGTGCTGTCTAAGGATCTTTGGTGAATTTCTGCAGTGCATCTTGTAGAGAGTACACACTGCTGCTACTGAGTATCAGTTGTAGAAGGAGTGGATGTTTATGGATGTAGTGCCAATCAACGGGCTGCTTTGCCCTGGATGGTGTCAAATTTCTTGAGTGTTGTTGGAGCTGATCCAGGCACGTAGGGATCCAACTGACCAATGCTCATGCCTGTGGCTTCTGAGGAATAAAGGTCAAGTCTGTTTTATAACAAGGAAAATGAGAGATCTGTATTGGTCAGAACAATGAAGATGAGATCAGGGAAGGTCAGATGTGGTGATCCAGAAAATTTCCTTTTATTACTGACATTCCTGCTGTAATTGGGCTCAACAATCCAAACACTGAATAATAAACCTGAAAAGAAAAAAAAAATATCCAATTCCTAATATTCTGAGATGGTTAGATCCCAACATGTTTCATCTTTCATGTTTCACCAGAACTTGGCATTGTACCTCACTATCCATGGGCTCTCACCCTCTCTATCCAATCAGCTTTCACCCTCACTATCCAATGGACTCTCAGCCTATGTATCCAATGAGCTCTCACCCTCCATCTTTATCCAATGAGCTCTCACTGTCTCTATCCAATGAGCTCTCACCACCACTATCCAATGGGCTCTCACTCTTGCTATCCAATGGACTCTCAGCTCTCTATTCAATGGGCTGTCACCCTCTATCTCTATCCAATGGGCTCTCACCCTATCTGTCCAATAGGCTCTCAGCCTGTCCTCCCAACACCTTTTAGCCTTTACCACCCCCAGCCCCACCATACACCTCTAGCAGGGGGTCTAGCCCTGTTAGCTTACAATGAGCTGTTCCGCCTTACCTAGTTGGTGTATACTTTACTGAGCTCAGTAATGGGCTATTCAGCTTTTGTTCCCTGATGCAGTTGTTAATCTGTTCTTACCAACTGTCTGTTTTCCTTCCCCAGCAAGCAACTGGACCTCTCAAAGAATTTTGAGAAACCAGAGATCAGTCTACTTACAATATAGAAAAGGGGTGGGGAGGTGGGTGGTGAATGACAGTAGTCGGGATGATACACTGTGTTACTGGGGAGTTTCCACAGCCATGACTACACGGTGAGAATTGACTATTTGTTGTTGTGTTCCTCTGTAGAGATGATTAAATGTCTTTATTTTTCAGGAGCCTCCTTTGTTTGTTACAACACACTGCAGCTGTCCAGGATCTACCCCACGGGCTCTCGCTTTGACTCATCCAACTACAACCCTCAGGAGATGTGGAATGCAGGCTGTCAACTGGGTCAGTCTATCTCAGACCTGATCTAGGGTTTAATGAATTTAATGAATGATAATTATCTGAAAATAAGTGAAATACACTTACTGAGTGTGCACTAAACTGTATCAGCAAACCTGAATTCTCCAGATGTAGATTATTTCAAAAAGCCTAGTATTTCAAAATAATAAAAACTTGCATTCATATAGTACCTTTCATGGCTAAGGAACATCTTAAATTGTCTTAAATCCAATTAGGTACGTTAAAGTGTAGTCATTGTTGCAATATAGGAAATGGAGTAATTCATGCACAGGAAGCTCCCACAGTCACATGATAATTAACAGAACCTGTTTCTGCAATGTTAATTGAAGGTTACATATTGGCCAGGATGCTAGGGAACAACTCACCGGCTTTTCTATGAAATCATGGTATGGGACCTTTTGCATCCATCTGGGACAGCAAATGGGTCTTTAGTTTAAAGTTCGATCCAAAAGACTGCACATCCAACTGTGCAGAACACCATTGCAGCACTGCAGTGTACTCAATTAGTTTGAACATAGGGAGTAGGAGCAGGAGTAAGCCATTCAGCCCTTCAAGCCTGCTCTGCCAACATGATCATAGCTGGTCTTCTGCTTCAGTGACATCTTCCTGCATTATTCCAGTCTCTCATCATCTTCAATATTTTGAAATCTATCGATCTCTGTCTTGAACATGCTCAAGGATTGACTGTCCACAGTCCACGGGTAAGAGAGTTCCAAAATGTCACCACCCTCTGACAGGAGAGAATCCCCTTCATGTCTGTCCTAAATGGCCTACCCCTTATTCAGAAACTGTGGCCCTGGTTCAATAACCCTGCTGTCCCCAGCCAAGGGAAGCATTCTTCCTTCATCTATCCTGTTGAGACCAGTAAAACATTTATATGCTTTGAAGAAACAAATCAGATTTTAAGCTGTTTTAATTGGCTAGATTATTGGGTATGACTAAGACAGACTGGAGGACGCCATTCAGCCCCTCAAGCCTGTTCTCCTATTCAGTCAGATCTGTATCTGTATCCTAACTTTTCCACTCGCTTTGGCTTCATATCCCTTATCATTTTTGATTAGTATTAACATCCCAATTGATGGGCAGGTGAGATCCCAGAGTGAAACTTGGCTCAATAGATCATATGTTTATGTGTTTAGTTAGTTAAGGTGGTGGTTAATCACTGAGATCATTCACATGAGACTGTAGATTTTCTTTAACAGAATAACAAGCGTTTATTACACAAAAGAAATAGAACAGAAATTAGATAAATACAGGTAGTTAGAGTGATCTCCCAAAATACAGCAAAAGAAGGTTTCAACCTTTTCCCAACACTATGTATTCCAGAGACTCAAGCCCAATGAAATTACACCTCTATCTCAATTCTTTAGGACTCCTAGCAATTTCTTGGTGTGGTCTGTGAAGACAACAAATTCTTTCCAAATCTACTGACATGAACATGTCATAAACCCAAGAACCTGAACTTTGTCAATTCTAACAATCTGCAGATTTCCAGCCTAACTCTTCTGGTTTGAAAAGTTTCACAAACTAAACGCTTGTAGTAACTTGTCATAACTTGTTCCTTGAAATACTCTGAATCCTTCTAGGAGAGAAACTGAATTTGCTTCCAAATACAACACTACCTGAATTGAAAAGAAAAATTGCTCTTCTGAGATTCTTCTGAACTAAAAACAAAGCTCGTGACCTTCCATGTTTACTCTACCTATCATAAATCCAAAACTAGCAACATCTTTGCATTAACACCACAGGGGTCCAGTCATCTGCTGTTTCACCAAATATTGAATTTATATCTCTGTTCCAGAAGGATGCTGTTGAGCTTGATTTTCTTAAAAAAAAGGAAAACCTCTCACAGAAGTGATCAATTCCTACCAGCACCTATTTTGAAATCCAATTTCCAAAAATAATGTTAATGTATAAATTATATATCCTTCATTGCATGAGCAATAATCTATTGATCTCAGATTAAAAATTATTAAATTGAGCCCTAGTATGTACTCCTTTTTGTGGGAAAGAATTCCAAATGTCCACCAATCTTTGCATGAAGGAGTGTCTCCTAACTTCTATCCTCAGTGGTATGGTTCTAATTTTAAGATTCTATCTTGTTTGACCGAGACATATCCCTATTCCACCAATGGAAAAGGTTCTGTCTATGTGCCCCACCAATCCCTTTGATCGTTCAAAAAACCTTATGAGATTACATCACCCCTTAACTATTTATATTCCAGGGAAAACAAACCTAGTTTATGTGACCTCCTTCCACAGTCCACAGATGTGCAGGCTAGGTGGATTGGCCATGCTAAATTGCCCATAGCTTTCAGAGATGTGTAGATTAGGCGGGTTATGTGGGGATGGGTCTGGGTGGGATGCTCTGAGGGTTGGTGTGAACTTGTTGGGCCAAAAAACCTGTTTCCACACTGTAGGGATTCTATGATCTATGATCTTTGATTATTAATTAGCTATTTTTCTGTTAATTGATATAATTTTTGATTTTATCTAGTGGCCCTGAACTTCCAGAAACCCGGAACAGAGATGGATCTAAACAAAGGGAAGTTTCGGCAGAATGGTCGGTCCGGATACATCCTGAAGCCCAGTTTCATGAGGAATAGTTCCAATCTGTTTGACCCTGCCAGGGCAAAACCAGGAGCAGGCCTCAAAGAGACACAATTAATTATTGAAGTAAACATCTTTCCATTCTTTTTCACTTAACAATGAAGCTGTGTGTATTTGGGGGCAAGCAAAAAACCAAGATAAAATTAGAGTCAGATCAGCATTAGCTTGTTTTGGTGGGAACAGGTGACTTGTTGACTGGGCCAGAATGCTGTGATTGATCGGTAACTCCATTATCCATCGGATATTGTGACAGCAAAAATAGATGGCGGTTAAGTAAATCTTGGTTCTTTGTGTCCGGCTTTTTCCATATTTCTGTCTGGAATTCCAAGACCCTGTCCCAGGATATCCTGTCAATGATGGAAATTCAAGTCATGAGAGTTGTTCATCAATGGGCTGACCCACAATGACCTGAAATTGCCTCTTTAATTCTATGTTGCATCCTTAGTAATAACTCTATGTAGTACATCCTTACCTTTCAGCCAGAATTAGTAGATTCAAGTCCCACTTGCCCTAGAGATGTTCGTAACACATCTGAATAGGCTGTTTAAAAAGATAGTAGGAAATGATCATATCCTGTAGTACAAGATCTATCTGTAGCATTAGTATTCCAACTTCACTTCAATATAATGGAGCAAAGGGACTGTAAAACTATAGTACAGTAGAAAAATGTCTCTCAGATCGATTAATAAAAGCTACAAAGATGTTCTGTGAGTGATAAGTGGGGTATCCCTAACCATTTTCTCTATTCCCAGTGTCTCAGATATTTCAGGAGTTGTTCAATGATTACCATCTCACTCTCATTCAAAGTGATATTGACAGATTAAGAGAAGGGATGAAACTGGATTTCAACACAGACAAATAGAAACTCTGGACTTCAAAAGGATACCTTCTTGATGTTGTAATGTTAGAAACAGAAGAGGACAAACAAGACCTCAACAGGCCTTTGAATGAGGGAATCCCCAGGGAGCCTGCAAGTAAATGTAACTGGGTTTGCTTTTGCCAACTTCCCCATGGTCCAAAACCAGTGGCGGTGGAGTGAGGCTCTTAACTCGGTATTCATTGCCCACTTCAGGGGCTTAACACGAGTTGGGGCAAAATGGGTGTCCATGAGCTGTCCATCCCAGACTTAATCAGGGTCGACAGGAAAATGTTGCAGAGTCCCCATTTAGAACCTTGTTGCCCAATTTAACACCCCCTCCACCCACCCCACCTTCCAACTCTCCTTGGGAAAGACCATTAAATTTCACTCTCTGGTTGTTTTGCCTGCAATTTACAAGGTTATGAGATACTTTGATTGAGGTTTTCAACTTGTTTAGGGGAACAGAGGGTAGAGGGGAGTTAAGGCATAGACTTTACAATCTGGGCATCTTTCTTACCTTTTAGTTTTCTTTTATTTCTGCTGTTTTTTTTTGAAGGTTCTGGTTTTGTAACCAAGATGGCACCGGAGAATGGTGACTTTGTACACTTTTCACTGTAATCACATATACCTATACTCGAGTACACGTGACAATGAAGTCTAATTCTAAATTCTAAAAAAGATAAAGGGAAATTATTTCCAGTGGTTACAGAATCTAGGCCCAGAGTGAAAATGAGAGCCAGACACTGTCAAAGTGAAATTAGGAAACATTTTTGTACACAACGAAACAGTCTTCGACAGGATTCTGGATGAATTGTAAGTTTTAAACCTGTGATTGAGGTATTTGTAAATATGCAAAGATATTAAAAGATATGGGCAAACAACATCAGTCCTGATGCCATTGAATGACAGAACAGACTGGAGGGATTAATGACTTCTTCCTGTTTCTGCATTCTTGTTCTCTCTCAGCTTAGTTATTAGATCTCCATCATAATATTCTTGCTGTTTCTGTTTCCTGATAAAGCCTCTGCTATTCTGCATTTGGAGATAAATCCTTGGGTCTTCTCCATTCACTGTTAAAGTTTTGTCCTCTTCAATGCTAGGATGTCTCTTCCCCTTCATCACTAATGAAGCTTCTATTGCCTTTCCCAAGTATCTTTCCTCATAATCTCTTGCTGTCTGCATTGAATCCCAAATCGCTGATTGTCCTCCTCCCCATCTCTCTCGATCTGCTTCTAATTGCTGATGAATTACAATCATCTCAGCCCCAAGTTCTCAGACTGACGTCTCTTTTGCAGATTATTACAGCTCAACAGCTCCCCAAAGTGAATAAGGATAAAAAGAATTCCATTGTGGATCCTCTGGTGCGTGTGGAGGTGCACGGAGTTCCTGATGATAACAGCATGCAAAAGACCAGCCATATTGAAAATAATGGTAAGTTGTTGTCTGATAGCAGTCATATTGTCAATAGCCTTTCTGAGAATCTTGATAATGTTGCAGTTAATAATTTCTGTGGGTGGCATAGTGGCCATGCTATTGCCCTGTTGCAGAGTTCGCAGGGCCCCCAAGTGGAAAATGAAATGTTCTTCCAGCTTGCGCTGAGGCTTGCTGGAACACTGCAGCAAGCCTGAAATAGAAATGTTGGCCAGGGTACATGGTGGTATGTTGAAGTGGCAGGAATGTGGACACAACATAGGTACACCACAAAGTATTCATCCAGTTTGCATTTTGTCTCCCCAGTGTAGAGGAGACCACATTGTGAGTGACAAATTGGCTCGCAGCTTGAAAGAGGTCCAGTAGGAATTGGCGATTCTCCCTGAGGGCCAGAAAGAGGCCTGGGCAGCTGTTGCGATGAGCAACATCACCCACCAGTCTTCGCAAACAGTTGCCAGGCTGCTTCCAAGTTGGCTGCCATGGGAACACAGAGGAGAATACAAAGTGATGGACTTCCTACGGTTGAAAATCTCCCTATCCTCAGCTAGGCCAATATTCCCTAACAAATCCACTCTCACTCAGTCTGCAGATAATGGAGCCATTCTGTCTGAGACTACACAGATCACAGTTACATGACGAGGCAAGCAGCGATCAGGCAGGTTAACAGTGTCTGTCTGTTTTTGCTGGATTGCAGGATTTAATCCAGTCTGGAATGAAGTGCTCCGGTTTACCATCAGTGTTCCCGAGCTCGCTCTCATCCGGTTTGTTGTTGAAGATTATGACTCAACCACCAGTAATGACTTCATTGGACAGTTTACACTCCCATTCACCAGTGTGAAAGAAGGTAAGTGACATCTTACCCCCTCAACCTGTCACAGTCCCCTCCCCT